AGTGATAATCTAATAATTTTTTCTATTAGCTCTTAATTGGTTTTTTATTTTGGCCTTAATTATTATGAACATTTCTGCTTCTGACCAGAAAGTTTTTAGGAGAGAAAACAGGCAAGAAAGTTTGATTAGTGGATTATTAATTAAAGTTGTCATATTGTTCTTACATCCTAGCCTTTAGGGGAACTTGATCCTCTCAAGGACAAATTTAATACCCTGTTATGTAACTGTCTGAAAATAAAAGGTCATTTGTAAGGCCTCAAGGTTGGGGCATCACATTTATATACAGGGGTGTCATGATAGGACTTTCCTTTTTTGAAACACAATACAATAGTGTTTTTAATAAATAAAGAACGAAACGTATAATTGATTCTACATTTCGTTCTAATAAAGAAGAAAATGTAGAATCAATTATGGCCTCACGTCTGTCATTTTTCGGAGTCACAATACTCATATTCTGTTTGCAAATAATCAGTGGATCCTCGATTTTTTATACAATAGTACATCTGTTGGTTTACACTGTGTTTCAGTAGAACTTGGTATTTTGAAGGCTGTAATCTGATTTCTGTGTTTTAAAATGAACAGAAATTAAATTTGTGTGATCACAAATGACAAACATGGGAGTACATTCAGCTTTATGCCTAAACGGGTCAAATAATACAAACGGTATTACAATTAATTCCTAAAAGCTCACTCGTAATCTATAAGTTGATCTTTTTTTATGTACATGAGGTGGTTGTGACCAATAAGAATTCACTTAATATATAGTGACACTAAGAAGCTGGTAGGTAGCTGGTAGAGGACTAGATTGTGGTTTTAATTTTAATATCATGAAAGTAAAGTTTGTCGGAAGACTGCACAATGGTTTTGTTAGTTGAGCCTGGGTCCAGAAGTGTTGCGTCAAATAAATTATTTATACTTTATTACTTTTCAATCAGAAACACCACCAGTAAGATGCCTTATACTGTATAGGTTGGAAGTGATGTTAATATAACTTATAAATAGCACATTTTAAATTAAAATTAGTTTAATGTAAACTGGTGTCCTTTTGAACTTTGTGGTTTAGCCAATTGCTAATACATCCTGGTTTCTTTTTGTAAGCAGATCTGTAACTTGTTGGTTAATATGCTTGCTCTTTAAATTATAGGATTCCTGATTCAAATCTTATGAGTACCTTAGAGTTCTCCCATTGCTAAAACTACTTTTCATCATTTTGGCAAATGCCCTTGTTAAATGTGAAGAAAATAAAACAAAAACATACGTAGTTTACTTGTACATAACACAAACCTATAAAATTGATTATATAATAAATTAGAATAGCTTAATGAAAGCTAAAAATAGAGAGAAATTATATAGAAAGTAGTTTAATAGCTAATGTTAAAATTATACTGAGGTGGAAGGAATTCTACTGTACATTTGTTTTGCAATGCTGTTCATATTTTAGTGTTATGGTCCTCGGTTATAGCAATGTCATTTACAGTAGTGTATAAATGGATTAATATAAATTAACTTAATATTAATATAATAAAGTTATGTAATAATAGATGTATTATTATTTTGAATTTTTTAATATTTTGTACAGTATTCCTACAATTATTAGGGCGAGTTAGATATGCACTGTCTGCCAAAAAAAATTGAGAAAAACCCCAAAAATTCAATTAAACACATGTATTAGCTCATTAAAATAAGATATTAAATTCCAATAAGAAACTGATGAAAAAAAAAGTTTTTCAGCAAATCTACAGGCATTTACTACAATAAATACATAAATTATCAGCCAATTTAAGGATTAAAAAAAGAATTTTTATAAATACAGCGAGTTATTTGATAATTTTTCTTGCCAATTCGTATGGTTCCTATATTTATTTTTCAAATACTGTACTATAAATAAACTGGTACTCAAGTCAATGATTTTTATAGTATATGAAATATTGATGTAGTCAAATAAAGGAAATAGTTAATATATTTTATAAGAATAAAAAACAATAAAATTGCAATCTTTGTCACATAAATGTTCAAATTGTCTATTGTTATATATTCTTTATATCACAGATACTAAGGTAGGATTACATTTTTAATATCTGTGTTCATTTAAAAACCAAGCAAATTATAGTGCATGAAAATCTGGTGCAAATAACATAATTAAGAAACAAATTTCAATAACTTGTATCTTTTCGAGAAACATCAAGGCCAGGAACTTAAGCTGTGTGGCAGTCATTCTGTTAAAAATAAAATCAATAGACAGAACACTGGACATTACCTTTGAATGGTCACTCATGGACAAGTAACAGCTTTCGCACAATTGGTCACTAATCAAATATTTCTGCCGTTCGAAGATAATTTTCTCATAGTATAATTGTAACGTTGGTAACTATTTGTATATATTTACACATTCTATAATCAATTTTGTTTTTTACCTACACTGTTTTTGATACCTTTGTTATTTGTACCTATTACCTATTAGAGCTACAAAAACTTTGTCTGCATGTGTGCATTTATAACAATAAAATACATTCTACACCAAAACAGTAATAGGTCTACAATTTCTTCAAGAAAAAAAAAAACAATTGTATCTATTGGCTTCCAATATGAAAATAAAATTTTGGACACATTTATAGTTACTGTAGCACCATCATTTTTAGTGGTTTACCCTTTCTAACAAAACCTTCACCCTTTCTGAAGTAGTTCTGAAACCTACATTTCATAATGAAACCTGTGCTTTCTAATTGTTGTGGCACGGTATTTTTATTTCAATAAACTACAAGAATTTATTTGTCCTTCAAAGTATGAAGAATTTACACACAAAAAAAAATTGAGCAATTAAAAACAAAATATGATATACCAAAACAAAAAATAAACAACTTTAAAATCCTGGTAGGATTATGAAATATATATGTAATATTGTGTATACTAGTTTTATGATTATTTTTGTTTCCCTTCAATATTCTGTTAATTTGATTGCTAGAATTCTGTACACTAGTTAAATTACAAACATGAGGAAGAACTATATTATCATAGAATTTGTTATTTATTTCAAAAATACTTATATTGTGATGTATCGGTAGTGCATTGTGTATATAAATGACAAAATGTAGATAAATGTTCCTGCTACTAAATGCTCTTTTGTGCGTTTCAATACAAAACCACAAATACTGTAATGATGTTATATGAGATTGACCTACCTTCCAACATCATTCCCATTTGTAAACACTTTTGGAATCTGCAATACTGACATCTGTTTCGTTGTGCTTTTGTAATCTCACAATTCCCGCTTCCCACACAGGTGTACACACGCTTGTTCTGAACTGTCCTTTTAAAAAACCCTTTGCACCCCTCACAAGTAATTATGCCGTAATGAAGTCCTGTGGCACGATCATTACAGATGCCACAAAGCATTAATGATTCTTCATCTTCTACGTCCGAGTTACTTTCCTCACTTTGCCCCTGACTATCCATTCCCGACGATGTTGAGGATGCTGTATCGGAGCTCTGTGTTACTGGTTTCTGTTCAGTTTCCTTTAAAAACGGCTGCGCTTGGTAAGGTATTTGTGGTGGGAATTGAAAATGCGATACACTGGTACTTGGAATCACAGAGTACGGAGAGCACACATATTTGTTGCCTCTCATTGGTGAGGGTAGGTACGGAGTGGCAGGACTTGGGATGCCAGTTGTTGGGTGGTGCCCGCGTGGTGATGAAAGTCCACTGTAAGATGCAAGGCTTGTCATCACCGGTTCAAAACTGTTAATACCAGCCCTTGAGGTCCGAATTAAGAGACTCTCTCTCGCAGAAGCGTTCAGTGGGGTGGGTAGCATTCCGGGCATTACTAGCATGGGTGGTGGGGGAAGATGATGATGCCCCGGAAAAGGGTATTTGTTGAGCATATCTGGTGGATTAAACATCTCTCCTTTGATAGGCGATGGTGATTTGTGGTCGTCTTTTAAGTACAATTCACTCCAACGTTTTGATGGCGGCAGTTTCTTCAACGGCGGTGGGGCATCGTTATTATTTGTCATGTGACACAGAGACTCATCAGTACGTCTCTTCATAATCTGTAAGTTCAAACGCAAATGGAAGGATTTACGATTGTGCAATACCTAGACACCATAAAGTAAATTTGCATATGCAATTTTTTTTCATGCAATAAAAATGGGTTGAGCTTGAGCGTGATGATAAACCCACCTATAGTTACGAGAAACTTCAATTTAAATCATAGGTTATGGATTAGCAAGAGTCATATCAATTTCAATCATATAAATCATTGATAACTTGACTATTATACGAGAGGAAGAATAATTAACCACAGCAGTGTAAAATTATTTTCCAAGTTGGTGAGCCATGTACTGCAGTATAAGTTAACTTACGCTATGGTTATAGAGGGCCTCAGTTCTTAACCAGATGGAGATGGGTGGGGTTTGATGTTGTGTTGTGTATTGGCTTTATTAAATGAACAAACATTCAATGTTTTGAAACCAATATAAACATTGAAACATTAAGATTGTTCCTTGACCTCTTTTCTCAAATTAAAAGTTACAACATTATTAAAAATAGATCCTGAAATTAAAGACCTGACTTATATATTAATTTTTTACTGATTTTACTTTGCAAATATGGAATTTTTGATTAAATACTCTAAATAACATGCAAAGAATGATGTTCGTAGAGTTTTATTTTTGTTGCATGTACTCTCTGCAATAAAAATACTTTTTTTGATAATATCCTTTTCAAATATACCATGCTATTAGTATGGTCTTTTTATACATTTGTTATTAAATGGGCAATATAAATTGAAAACTATGCATAACAAAAGGTTATACAGCTATTTTATACAAAATGCATACTTCGTAATATGTTATTATTAGGTTCTAGTTTATAAACAATATTAGAAAAACATATATTTTTTACACGCATAGCCACAGTGCTATATATACACACATTCATACATTTATAAAATATATCATTTTAATTGTTTTTTAACTATTTTTTACTGCAGTATTTTTATTTCATCATTAAATTAAAAGGAAATAAAAATATTTATTCAGTGTAAAAACTGCTTTTTTTCACTTATAAAGAGCTTGGGAATTGCTTAATTTGTGTATAAATTTAAGTCAGTTACGGACATTGAAAATTTAAACAAGAAAACATTTGTTTTTGCTAATTTACAAAGACATATAAATTATACTGTTTTTATATCTGTGCATAGACCCTTAATATGGCTAAAATTGTTAAGGATTTTAGAAGTAGTGTGTTTATTCTTTGTTCTGTCTGTAATTATTTGATCATTTCAAATGAGTAAATTTAATGTTTTAAATTGAATGTTTGGTGTTTTAGACTACAGAAGAGTATCTTTAAATAAAATCAACAATATAATTTACTAACATTAAGCAAAGTGACAGTTTAATGGTTATTTATAAAATGTTTAATTGTAAAAGCCAAACATTTGACAATCATGAGATCATGTTAGCTAGAAACAAGACCGAAACTAAAGTAGATAAGACAGCCATACTAGAGCAGATTTACTTGAACATACAAAATAAACCTATAGTATTAGCCTCATCACTTGAAAATTACTTAGGCTTCCTGTTATACTAAGTTTAATCATTCTTTCACTTAGCTGAAGTCAGAGTTTTAAAATCCCCAAGGGATAAACAATTAGTCTAAATTGAATATATTTTTACATTATGATTTTTTTAAAGTGTAAACTGTATATTATAGTTCAGATATGTTTTTTAGTAAATGCTTAAATATTAATTTTTCTTTTTCATGTCAGATAATTTCAAGTGTGGTAATGAAACAAACAAACCATACAATACTCATGAATAAATTTAATTAAAATTATTAATAATAATAATAACAATATAGGCAACTAATTAATTACTAAAATGTATGTGAGTTACTTTATGTAGTTCTAATACAGGTCTCCGTCTAATATTAAAGACCACTTTGTAAAGGAAACAAAATATAATGCTGTAGTAGGCTATCAGTACTGAAGCTAGTGAAAATATAACCAAAAAGTGATCTAGGAACACCAATTCTTATTCAACATTGTATTTTGTTTAAGTAAAGTAAATAGCCCAAAGCTTAATTATTAATGTGTTATCCAAATATATATATATATGGGAAAATATCCATAGACATAGATAGACAGACATTTTTTACCCAATTGTTGCAAGTCAATATAATAAGGATGTTATCATAATTATCAGACAAAACAAGGCTATATATATGAACAATGTTACCGACTAAGATAAATGAAATAAAAATATTTGACAAATTAATACTATAACTTTGAAATCAATTATACTTAATAAAAAACTCTGACACTATACTGAACTAAAGGTCTAATATTAACCTTGACTCCGGCCTTTGCAAGTTACTGTAGGTTTAGCTACCAGCAACGATGCACCGTCTGGCGAAGTTCACGGATCTAGCATACATTTTAGTTAAATAAAATGTGAATTATCGGTAAAAATGAACAAATTACAAATATTTCTACAACTTACCGTTATGCTAGCTTTATAGCTCAAAGAATGTTGTGATGGAACCTCTATCACTGAGCAGACGTCCGACCGCACGTAAGCAAAACTGTATACTCAAGCAAATGTAGGCCTTTACACGAAGCGTTCAGAAGTTCAGCATGAAAATAGGCTATAAATACAATACGATTATCCGCCGTGCGTTGTCGCTCGAAAGTACAGGTTAATTAATTATGCATTCAGATCGGGCAACGGATGGGTGAACGACCGAAGACAGAAATGTCATGCTGACCGTTGCGCTGAGAGCTTCTAACCACCTTGTGTGCCGCTGTCGTTTGCCACAGCTAAAAGATTTAACGGAGTGGCCAGACAGCTGTAATTCTAATGAATCTTTACTGTATGGTAAGGTGCAACGACTTCGTATAATTTGGAGGAAATCTTGAGAGCGACTGCATGACTTCGCTAGCGATGCAGCAGAAGATTCCCCTGCTTGGGATGAGATGGAATATTCTGTGTCCTCTTCCGGTCACTAGATTAAGAGGGCGCCCTGTGACACACTGACCGGTCACCAAGTCATTGTCCGAAGTGACCAATACCGCTAGAGTAAACCATACTGCATTTCAGGAACAATAAATATGGCAAATACGACTACCAGGGTTGCATACAATTTCTTGCCTGGGTTAAAAAACGTAGGCTGAAGGTCATTTATTACACTTTACTCCCAATTGCAGCTTTCTGTTTGCGTTCAAATTGATTAATTAATATTTATATCCTAATTTTATTTGTTTATTTTTTTTAAACATTTTTTACAACAAAAAAGCAATACAGTACCCTTAAAGGTGGAGCTCAGCCTTGGGGAGATAATCGTGTTTTTGGGGGAAAAAAAGGGGGAAAAAACGGCAATTGTGTTTTATTTTGCATACTCTACATTTCGTAATTGAAGGTTCGTAAGGGAGATGTTACTGTATATAAATTGTATTATTATTTTCATTTACAATACAGTACAACAATTAAAAAATACAACCTAACGTCACCCGCTTTCTTGTAGGCCTATATTATATTTCTCGTCAATAATGCAATCTAAAACATGTTTTCAGTGAGGACAAATTAAAAGAAAATTGGAAATTTAACAATCAAGTACCTATTGTAAACGACCTCATCAAATTTGACGTGAATACCCTGAATGTGTAACGAAGCGACGAAGTGCTTTCACCGCGAACACAGAGGTCACTGTCAACACAGTCGCTTGCTGTCGCATAAATACATCGAAAAAGGCCTACATTTTTGTACTTTCTGATAGCCTAGACTCAGCAATTTAACAGACAATGTTACATGACATTTTTCGGTTTTTGCAATTGACTTTTAGATATGAGTTTTGAGCATGCATCGCTTCGTAATTTATAAAGCTCGCAGGAAGTTTCTGCCCGGTAGCATGATCGCTTGAACCAGTCTGAGCAAATGGTAACAAGCTGATAACCACACCGGCTTTCGTGCTGTGTACATTGTTGCATAATGAAGTTCGCATAATTTTGTGGTAATGGCATTGCCCTCTGGTTGTATAACGCAATGCACACGCGCACTAATCAAATACCGGCAATAATAAAAGAGGAATATTGAATGATATTCGTTCCAAAAATATCATCGTTGCTTGCCGATTTATCAAAAAAGTGCTTTATTGTGAACAAATAAACTACGTCAATCTACGTCATCGGTATAGATCATACGGTATCAATGGCGATAAATCTAGGTCGCGCATTGTTCGTATTCGAAATGCTAAATTATGAATATAAACAACGGTATTCATCTTGACAAATGATCCTTAAAACTTTATTTTCATCTACTTTCCGCCCTACCTTAAAGACACGGTAGCACTATCAAAAAGAAAACATTTAAAAAACTGAATTAGTCCGCCATTTTGGCATGTAATCTATAACTAGCCTATGTTATAACAGATTTAATATTGATATAATATTGAAGATATTATCATATAATAAATAATTTATTTTATTATTATTATTATTATTATTATTATATAGGAAATATCAACAGTATTGATTGAACTAAAACTGTACACAGTACCGTATGCTTTGTAGCTAGGCAACACATTGAACGCGGATGTTAACTACGCGTTGTCCCTTGCAACGCGTTCGCTTATAGGCAATTATGTGATTTGCCTGTGGCTACCAATACTGTAGTGTATTTTGCATCATAATTATAATTTAAACTATTTTTTGGATATCATTATAGATTCGCTTTTTTGTTTATATAAGCCATAGGCCTTGCTAATTTCTATCTAATCTGCCCGTTGCTCCGTCAAAATGACCAGGCGCAATACCGTATTCTCGCCACAAGCAAATAATCATTAGCAATTCATAATTTATTATTAGCTATACCCACTATGATTCCAATTCAAGAGAAAGACTGAACGCTGAAGGTTAGCGTACTGTAAATTTTTGCACTTGGCAAAACCGAATAGGCCTAATATAATCACTGTTCAGTGCAGGATTGCAGGCCTTTTGAAGACACGAATTGACGCCGCGCACACGCACTGAATTCAATCCGCAGATGAATTATAAATAAGCTACTGTATTAATTATTTTGTTCATCATTCACTCATTAGTCATCCAACACAAAACAATAAACATTAGGTCTAGCCCACGAGACAAAAAAATTCCTAAGCTTGTAGTGTTTTAATAAGGAACTTAAACACTGATTGCAAAAGAACTAAGTATGGCATAGGTCATCATAAAGAAGAGAAATAAAATTAATTACATTACCTCTATAAATACATCAAAAACCATTTTTCAGGATTTAATAAGGAATCAAAACAGTAATACAATAGTATAAAATAAAATAAAAAAAAGTCCAATTGACTTAATTGAGAGTAAACTTTATTTCTGCCAATCAGTTTCCATTTTAGCAGTTTTGTTTAATTGTAATTACCGGTATCTATGCTTAATTAGCATATAATTTGTATTCACATTTGTAATTCTTGCCATCTGAGCTGCCTGGGATTTGAATTTTTGATAACAATACGTGTAATGGCGATATGTAGCCTAACTTAAGAAGCACATAATACGAAATCGTCTCACTCATGCGATAAGAAAACATGACAGCCCAAGTGCACAAAAAAAAAAAAAAACAAAACAAAACAAAAACAAAAAAAAAAACAGAACCGTACCGTAATATAGTAAAAATAACGAATGTTGAACATTGATAGGCTTATGATTGATAGGCCTAACCATGTACGCTAGGCATAGCGATAATATTAATATGACTTTGAGTTAATATCACAATATGGCGAACGAAAATTTGAGGGAATGAATTTTTAAAATATTACATATTTTTTGTGCATTTTTTTTCAAGTGACAAAAAAGAACACAGGTGATTGTGAAATGTTGCATCAAGAAGTAATTAAGCCCAGAATACAATTAATTCGATCAGTACACTTGCGCAGCCTACCTACTGCACTGAAAGACAAACCGAACATGAAAGTAAGTGCAGTTAGCGTCGGCTTAAAGCGCAAGGTTCAGTATCTAGGTTAATTCATTCTTATGTACAAGTATCGGCCCACTCGCCTGACCTCGACCTTGCGCGACCGTGACTTTGAATACTACAGCACGACTTGTTTATCCGCGTTCTATTTTCGTTCGCGACTGGAATGTTTGTGTGAGTCATTGAATTCATCCAGCCTCGATCACTAATATTATTATGTATACATAACTTAGAAATAGAAATTCAACAATATTCAACAGTTTTACGTTAAAAAAAAATGAAAATATAATAAATCAAAAATTATTCACTGAATGTTATATATTTCATGGTAGTTATTCGTTTGATTGAAATTTATTTTAGAGAAATATGTTCAAGAAGGTGATTGTCGTTCACCGAGTTCGCGGTCAGGTTCACGTCAAGTTCATTCGGGTAACACAAAAAAGCGGGTCGCGCTTCCTGCTTCAATTCTCGGTGTTATTGAACTGCGCTGAGCAGACGATAGCATTTCCACATGCGCAGAAACTGCACTCCGACTTTTGGGTTTCTGAATGGGATTTAGAGTTGTGAATGTGAATGATAAAATGGTGTATCTGTGCGGTATATTGGCTTGGCTCCATGGCCAGAAAATATTGTCTGTAGTGTTTTGAAGCTTATTATGTTTTTGCTCTTTCAAATTTGCACCCCGTCTTTCTTTCAGATCCGTTAATTTTTGTCGTTTTTAAATTCGTGTCTTTATCGTTTTATTTAAAATCTTAAAACGATTCCGTATGATCGTATAATGGAGAAAATTAAGTGGTAGTGCAATGAAAGAAAAAGAACTTAAGAACACTTTGAAAAAAAGTTCGAAAAAAAAGAAGAAATGTTTGGAAAAAAAAGGAAATTGGCATTATGCATTTGCGCTATATAAATATAACATTATTATTATTATTATTATTTATAATTATCTTCAATGCCGGATGCTTGAACAATAAAATACTGGAGGCTAAAATAGTAAAATAAAGGGCATAATCGACTGCTTCATTTCGTTGACTACGAATTTTCGTTGAGTATTATTTTCATTCTACTGGTTCGTAAAATAGACTTCGTTGACCGTACGAAAATTAACGTAAGAGTGCGTTAATCTGCGTTAAGTTATCCACGTGACCAAAACAAACATGGCCGATTGGTCAGTTTAGAAACAACATTTGCGTTAATATAATTTAGATTAAATTTCAGAAAATAAAAATCATAATATTTACCCACATGAAGTCAAAATATAATTGTAGCTAACAGAATTCAAAAACTGGATGGAAACATTTCTTTTACAAAAAATCCATACTGCCACAAGCCGAAGCAATTGATTACGCAGCTTGTATCGCGGTAACTATGCAGCCATTTTGTTTTGTCGAGTATTTGCAAGTTTTCTACTATTCGACTAATCGTCTTCGTTAAGTAGGATTTTACCACTGCGCAGGTGGGCGTGGTTTAACGAAGAACTCTTGTCGAATACGGCCGTGAATATTGACGTTGCATTGCATTCATTATATTGTATACGCAACCTCGTCAAGAGTTTCGCACTAACGTTGAATAAGCCTTTCCATTATGGATTTTAAGGCCTATAATGAACAAAATGTATGAAGGTAAAATGACAATAACCTTGGTATCTTACACTTTTATATATAAACACAGGTAGGCCTACAGGTAGTTTTTTGAAAGAAAAAAAAAACAATTCTTGTCACCAACATGTTTTAACCATACTGTCACTAAATGTAACATTTAAGTATAAGTTAACACAACTTGGAATATTGAACTTTGATTCTATACTTTAGACATATTCCGTGCAATACAATGGCCTAGGTACTACCAAAAGAATAAAGCTAATTAATACCTCAATCAATTAAAAATCTTTGAATTGCTCAAAATATAACCACTCACTGCCAACAAATTGGGAAGAAATTCAACAATCCAAACACAATTCTGAATAGCTAATATAAAGGATCAAAGTAAGTTACTAACTTCTAAAACCAGAAACAGATCAAATAACTGTTCTAATTTACAGACATTTTACTACATCATTTAAT